TCCAGCATCCCTTCCAGCACCTGGACACAGAGAAGTCAGAAGAACTCAGGATCAGCAGTGGTCTTGGCCTCTCCATGAGCCACAGGGCAGCCCTTCAACGCATTCAGACAGGAGACAGCAGGGAAGCAGATGGCAAGCTAAGTGCATGAGACAGCTCCAGCTCCTGGAGAAGCAGAGGATCTTTTTGCTGGCTGGACTGAGAACTCTCCCATCCCAGTCCTGGGGAAGAAGGTGGCATCCATGTCCCCACTCGTAGTTGCCTGGGCCAGCTATCACTCACCTGATGAACAGAGTCTGCCAGGCGGGCCTGGACATGGTGCCGAAAGGCCAGGTCCCTCAGAAGGCTCAGCGGTGTGCTCAGCTGCATGGCCGAGGGCTCAGTGGCCTCGATCAGGTGCTGCCACTCCTCATCACTCTCCACCTCCTAGTCACAGAGGAGAGAGAACTGGTGTCACAGACCCTGCCTGCCACGGGGTCTTTGTACCAGCCCTTGGGGACTGGGCCCTGCTGTCCTCACCACAAGACACAGTCTTACCTCATTCTCCAGGTCCACAGCCTCAATGCTGTGCCTGCCCCGGGGCTCTGCCCTGCCAGCACCAGGCTGCAGAGGTGCACCTGCTCCAGAAAACTCCTGCTCATAGTCTTGAGTGATGCTGTGCTCCCTGGCCAAGGAAACAGCAGTCAGTGGATGACCCTGCTTTCCCCTCTTCCTCTGTCCTAGTCTCAGCCCTCCCTCACCCTGGATTGGGAGGAGGCTCCTCCAACTCCCACTCTGCCATGCTGCTCTTTCCTTGCAGGACACCAGGGTTCTTCTCCTTGGAGGCATCTGGAGGCTCCCCTTCCCCAGGGTCTGCCTTCCCTGGAGCTGCTCTGGGTCTATGCCCTGGGCATCCTTTGCCAGAGACCTTCATAGATACAACACCTGCCTTCAGTTGCACCTGGGTGATGGCAGAGAAGATTGGTCAGGGCAGGGTTACTCAGACAGGCAGATGAGTCCCCTAGACACCACCACTCTGAGGACCCCACATCCTGCCTTGCAGGTGGCTGACACCCCAGCCTGACCCATGTACCCTCTTTCCCCCCAGGTCCCATTTCAGTGTCCCTCCTTTGCATGGACTGTGGAACACAGCCAGGGGAATCCCACACTTTCCTCCACCTTTTTCTCAGCCATCTTCTGCCGGGCCTTTCTCAGGATGTTGGACTGGCCACTCCTGGGGGCCACGGAACGGGCTTGCTGCTCCTTCAGAGCCTGCATCTCTGGTGACAGCTTGGTGGTGAAGGGGTTTGAGATTCCATGCTCTTCTGTGTCATCAATCACTGGGGAGGCGAGGGGAGCATTTCAATAGCAGCTCTCCCCTGGGATCAGCTCTGGGATCCCAGGAAAATCCTAGGGGACCCAGACCTAACCCAGGGGCAGGAGCTAGGGGTTAGGGCTTGGAGAAAGCTGAAACGAGGGAGGCAAAGACCAGGGTAGTAAAAATAGCAGGGCAGGGTGGTCCTCCCACCCTTCAGGCAGCAAGAGGAGGAAACAGACCTGGCTACTGCTGGAAAAAGAGCTGGCACTCACCAGCAACCCATCCAGCAATGAAGGGGTGAGAGAGCAGCTCCGGCCACGACAGGCGCTGGCGGGGGTCCTTCATTAGTAGTCCCTGCAGGAAGCTCTACAGGGCAGCACAGCACCAGGGTCACCAACACATGCTCAGCACCCACCAGTGAGGATAGTGTACCTACCAGTCTCCCCCAGTGAAGGCACCCAGGAGACCTGCATTCCCTGACTAGCTCTGGGAAAGGATTGTCTCTAGTGCTTAGGACAGATGAGAAGGCACTTCCCCTCTCAGCCCATTAAATCACTCCTCTGGTGTCAGCCCCAGTTTCCAGCTTATGGACAGCAGTGATAAGGGTACCCCTCCCAAGAGGCCCAGCTCTCATCCCCTCCCTATGTTCTGAAGTCCCTGTTAAGGCACATACAACCTAAGAGTGACCCACCAGGGCAGCAGGCAACACCAAAGCTGCTACAGCATTAACGGATCTCAGCTCCAGACAGGCCCTTTGCCCTTACCTTGAAGTCTGGGCTTATGGCTGCGGGCCATTTGACGGGGTCCTTGACAATGAGGCTGACGAGCTGGAAGATGTTGCTGGTGTAGAAGGGAGGAGTACCCACGAACAGCTCGTATAGGATGCAGCCCACAGACCACAGGTCTGCTGTGTGATCGTACGGCCGTTCCTCCACCAGCTCAGGGGACATGTACAGCGGGGTGCCCTTGATGGAGGTCAGCACCATGGTGTGGATGCTCATGGCACGGGCAAACCTGCTCAGAGCAAAACACAGAACATCCATTGCAGCTCGCAGGGAGATCCCTATGAGTTTACCAACACCTCTCCCCTCTGGAGTCCAAAATCCCCCATCTCTGCTAAATTTCTAAATATGCACAGAATCCAAGTCCCCTTCCACACTCTCCCCTCCTCCACTACAGCACCCAAGACACTCCTTGGCTGCCCCAAGGCCATGTGTCCCCCTCAAGCTGGCCCCCAGCACCCACCCGAAGTCACAGAGCTTGACAACGCCGTCTTTGCCCAGCAGGATGTTCTGGGGTTTCATGTCACGGTGCAGGATGCGACGGGAGTGCAGGTAATAGAGAGCAGAGACCAGTTGGGCAGCTATGGTCTGGACCTGCCGGAGACACAGGAACCTCAGTCTGTGTCCCATGGTGCCATCAGCTGGCACAACCATGGGGTCTCTTACAGCCTGGCTCCCCCAGTATCCCCACTCCTGCCCTTGCCCTGTTTGGGTCAGGGACCAGCCCCAGCTGTGGCCCAGAAGTTTCTTGGAGTAGATCGATGGCCAAGGCAGCAGCCTGCTGCTGTGGTCCTTGGAGGAGGAACAGGGAAATCGAGGTCCCTGCTGGTTCCCACTGTTCATCAGTGCAACTTCACCCCCTCTCCAACCGCTTCAGAAGCTCTGCCAGGTGAAGCCCCGGAGGAACTTTACCCTTCTGATGTCTCCTGGCCTGCAGCAGAGACCTGCTGCCTGCAGGCAAACGAACTCTGTTCTCTCCATCCTGCAGCAAACACTGCGTAGTCACCCCCATGACAGTCACCTGGGACTCGGGCAAACTGCCATCATCCTCCAGGATCTGGAAGAGTTCCCCCTCTGCATAGTCAGTCACCACCACCACCTGGAGGGAGGAGCAGGACGGTGATATCAGGCACTCACTCAGCCAAAGCCCCACCATGCCCTGGGGACCTTGACAGAGCATGGTAGGAAATCTGAGGGAAATGCACAGCCCATCAGCTTGGGCTTGGACCTGGGATGGGAGAGAGCCCTTGTGGCTGCAGTGCAGTGAGGGCCCAGCACTTAGTAGAGGCCTTGGGGCTGTCCTGTTTCTGCAGACAGACAGCAGAAACCAGGGAAGAGGGAAGGACAGGACAGGCCCACAATGGTACTTCCAAGCCCAGTGGGTAGAATCACTCCCCTGAGTTGTCTGAATCTGCTTGTTTTGAATCTGCTGCCCAAGAGTCACACTTGCCTTGTGATCCCAAACCACTCCTCTTGTATCACACACCACCACCCAGCTCCTTCACTTCTGCATATGACCTAGCACCCACAGAGCTCAGATAGGTGCTGGCTCCCCACACGGCACATACTGGAGGGCTCTGAAAAACACTGACCAGGCCCTGGGAGGGTGTCACTAGCATCTCCTGAGAAAGAGGTCCCTACAACAGCAGGGGCCAGCTGTTGTTCCCCTGCCCCAGTCAAGAAAAAGCATCTGCCCAGAGTAGTCCCCTTCACCTCCTTCTCAGTCTCAAAGCTGTCGAGCATCTGGATGATGTTGAGGTGATGGAGGCCTCTCATGATCTCAATTTCCCGCCGCAGGTTCTTCAGCTCCTTCTCAGACTGCCCCACCTTGGGGATGAACTTCAATGCGACCACCTTTCAAAGCAGGCAAAGCTGGGATCAGACCAGACTCCTATCCACCCTGGCAGAGGCTGTGTTTAACCCAAATGGGACCAAGCATTTTTCAGCCAAGCACACTGAAGAAGGTATCTTTTCACTGGATCCTTTGGAGCTGGGGCTCCCCACAGGCCTTTGCACATCGATACAGGTGCTCACAGTACTTTGCACACTGGCATTTAGAACAAAGAAATATAATCACTGAGCACAGACAAAACTAGGACTGTCAGAAACATGGGACAGGACCTAGAGATGCTGGTGGACAGCCAGCCTAACATGAGCCCAGAGTTGGCACTGTCAGTGACGAGCACTAACAGCACTCTGGGCTGTATCAGCAGGCAGAAGTTGAAGGGAAGTGATTATTGCCCTTTATCTGGAACTTCTTAGACCAATATTGTGGCTAGGTTTTGGCCCAGAAAGACATTGATAGGCTGGAGTGGGTATAGCAGAGGCCACTGTGATGGTAAGGGGAATGGAGTACATGGGAGGATGACACAGGGACTACAGATTCAAAGAGGAGAGCTTCAACTTGATATAAGAAAAAACATTCATCCCAAGTATAATCAAGCACTGGCTGTGGGGTGTTTGTCTTTGAGGTTTTCCAGGATCTGAATTTAGTGCTGGCACTGCTTTGAGCAGGGGATGGACTGGAGACCTCCGGAAGTCCCTTGAACCTGAATGATTGTGCCACCAGGAGCTGGCCAGGAACATCAACGGAAAAATGAGTAAGTGCTGAGTCCCAAAGGCCTGACAAGACCCTGGAACCTCACAGCCATTGGAAATCAGTCCCTGGCACCACACAACGGACCCCCAGCCCTCTCCCCTGCCGCCCCTCTCCTCACCTGGGCGCTGTGTTTCCGGCGCCCCTTGTACACGCGCCCAAAGGAGCCTTCACCGATCATTTCCAGGACATGGTACTTCTCCATCGCGGGCGTTAAGGCTGGAGCCCCTGAGCTGCTGAGGCAAAGCGCCTGGTGAGGAGAAGCGCTTCACCCTCCTCCTCTCGCCCTCCGCCACCGGCTGCCATGGGGCACCAACCCCAGCGGCGATGGAGGCGGGCAGGGCCAGCGCTGGGAAGACAGGGCCGCACCCTCTGCGATCCCAAATCCCAAGGGCCGGGGCTCCCCCTCCCCGCGGGGCTCCACCCAGGGCGGGCGTTCGCCAGGCCCTCTCGCCGGGTTCTGTCCCTACCCGCCGGCTCCACCCCCGCTCCCCCGCGGCAGGACGGGACGCAAACCCTGGGCG